AGGAAAACGACCGGTTTTCACACTGAGATTAACAAACCGCCCTGTTGCCAGGCCACTCTTGGCGAGAAGTTTTCAGCCGTCGTTGTTTTTCCTCTGGCAACAGAGGAGTCCGAGCTACTTGGCTCACAATTGCGAGTAGGCCTATGAAGCACAAGGTAGGGATGGAATGGGGAGTGACCTCGAAACAAAACTCGCAGGCGCTGGGACTAGGCCAGCTAGCAGCTAGCAGCTATGGTCCAAATTTCTGCACTGAGGACACACTATCCAAACCTTCGCACGGCACAGTGCCTGCAGGAGGCCTTCGCAGCTGTAGGGAATTCAAGTGCTTTTAGTTGCTGGATGAAGTTGGCAGGCTCTTGAAGGGCTACTTGGCAAGTGATTGAGCTGATGTAACTGGGCGAAGCAGTTATGAGTGAGCTGGGTGGTGCTTGTCCGGAAAAAACGCATCATGTCTAAGGTTCTGGAAGGCAAACAAGATCAGCGCCTTGGCGGAGAACAAACACGAAGCAATCATTGCGTAGCAGAACCGCTGTAACCGAGTGGTTGCGTGTGACGTCTGGGACATGGCTTTGCGTTTGGATGGCATGATGCACCTGGTACTCAAGGCAGCCCGTTGTCCGAATATTTTGGGATGTATAACCTTGCAAACGTCGTACCAGTGATGCTTGGTGAAACTCCCTTTGTCACGCCAGCTGTTTCAATTGAGTTGGTTCGTGTGTACCTGACAATCTATGAGAGAGGAAACTCAAGTTGCCTTGAGGAACACCACTTCCTCAGCTTTCTACGGTATCTTTGTTCACAGCAAGCTGATGGCAATCGACCACGACTCTGATTCAGGCAATGGCCTGATGAATTTCATTGGTTGTTACAACCAAGCCTGGCGGCGGGCAGACTCGAAATCCTCGCGATGACTTCTCAATGCGAGGTGCTGAAGCCATCGTGGGCAGTGCCAATCTGAACGACCGCTCCCTGCTGGGTGACCGCGATGCCGAGGTTAGCCTTGGCGTCAAAGGCACCTTCGTCCAGGTGGAATGGGATCTTAAGATCGGGATTCCTGAGCTTGGCTCTAGCAGCTTCAGCAAACCCAGCTCTTAGCTGCGTCGCAGGCGCTGATGTCCACATTGCAGGGTCCCTGGTTGGTGAACCACATTTAATGATCCTGTGACACGCCTGGCGCTGCCCTGGATATTTGGCCAGGTTCCAGTCTCATGCAGCATCTGCCCTGCCTCGCGCTGTGGATCTGCAGCGGCGACTATCAGAAGCAGCAGAGACCAGATCTGCAGAACAGCGCAGGGGAGTACATGGCAGCGCATCGGAGCAGAGCATAGCTGGTTTTGCCATGTTTTGCCGTTTTGTGTGCTGAGTGTAGAGTTTAGTACCTCTGAGGAATCCAACGCTGGGAGGCTGAAAGACGTCGGAATCAACTGGGACGAGGCTGGAGGCCGTTGGCTGTTAAGCGTTCTCCTTCTGCAAATCCATCTGCAAGGGCACGTTGGGATCCAAGAAGCTTCTGGATCAGAATGAGCAGCGCCTCTGCCAATAAGCGGGTACAGTCTGGCGAGCAACAGGACGAGAGAGGGATGCCTGACCTATAGCTGAGGGACGACGGCTTTCTGCCTGAGCTCGACATGTCTGAAGCCTTCCAAGTTGGTTCCGGAAGCTTGTCAGCAAGGCCATTTTTGTTGTCAGCAGTTCTCAGAGACATCGCCTGCACTTGTCGGGAGTCCATCGCCTAAGGTGTTCACTGGAAGATGCTGCCGGGAAAGGCTTTGCAGAAGGGCTTGCAAGGCTACTTGCTCCCGTGGCGCCCGGCCTTGTGGGGAGATGCTGATGTGTACCGGCTGCTTCGTTTTGAATCAGTATGCTTCCCGTTTGGCATGTGAAGCGGTTTTAACTGGAGATTGGACCGGGGATGGCTAGGCTGGGTGTGGGCTTGAGGTCTTGGAAGCACTACCATCCTTCGGGCGCCTGGCTGCAGACCTGATGCCAGGCCAGTACCGAAGCTTCGCTTCTTGTTGCTTCTTTTCGCAACAGACACTTCTCGTCAAGCCTCTGGCTTCGTGCGACAGACTCATGGCAACACAGCAATATCTTGCTCTTGCTGCAACTATGTTCAAGCAGCGATAGCGATGTTCAGGAGGTGGGCGGCCAGCAGCCGCGAACTGGGACTCGCGCTAGCCGTCAGAACAAAAAGACGGTGTCCATGTGCAAAAGCTGAGTACAATTGCTAGCATTCTGCTAGCTGCATTGCAAAGATGGGAAAGGCTTGATGGCACGCCTACCGATGCAAGGCAGCAGAAGAAGCTGGAACAGATTCTCAGAGATGGCAAGGAAGGTTGAGTGGGCGGTTCTGCTAGATCAGAACGTAGGATGCTTGCAGTATGCAACAGTAGCTAGATCTGAATTTTCCACATCTTGTTTCACCTGAATTTATTATGCCATTCGGAAAATGCCGGTTCTTTGGCAGTTTCTGGGGTGCTAAGAGGATTCCATTTGCTGAAGGCGTGTCCTGCTTTGCTAAAAAGTTTTGATGATGCGCTTGCACCCCCGCGCTCCGCTGGACATCAGTGCAGGATGCTGTCGAGGGTGGCATCTGGGCACAGTCTAGCAGAGTTGCCCTTTTGATTATGGCTGTGCCCGTTTGCGACGACATTCGGCCGCGTGGATGGGCGTCAGAAAAGAAAGATGCATGCAATCCTCAAACTCTGGGCAGGGGTGAGAGCGTGAGCACAGCTGCGTCTTGTAAGATAGCAGGGTGGTGATGATCCTTAATGACGTGGGCTCCAGTACTGCTTAGAGGTGAGCCAGGTGAGCATTGCGTCATCTGATTGCGTTGCTCGAGCCTGAGGTGGCTCCCCTTTCAGTGCCTCCCTCCTTTGATCTCAAAAAAAAAGAGCATGCTGCGCTGCCCAACTTAGGCTGAGGTCATGGGAGAGTTTGCTCAGCATCCTTGCAGCAAAATGACTGGACCATGAAGACAGAGGTGTCGCCGTCCACTGTCAGCCAAGGCTGGACAAGTTCCTGACACAGGAGAAGTCCAGCTCTTCAAGCAGCATCCTGCCAAACCCCGTCAGCCCTGCCTGGTATGACCCAGAGGCAAAATCCTGGTATGGTCACTGCCTCAGAAGTTACCCAGATCGTTTCAGGTTTGTAGATCAGAGATGAAAGGTACTCAGCACAAGCTTTTTGCTTATTGTGTGCACTTGTGGACCTTCAGGAAGTAGTCTTGGTGTTGCCTCACTGGGTCCAGGAATAGATTTGCTGGAAGCAAGATCTGCCCTGAGGCCAGCAAGACATGGTCGGCCTTTCAAGAAAGGACAAGCAGAGGCTTCTTCCCTGTGCAATGTTTTGATGCTTGGTTGCATAGCTGCCTGCTGCTCTGGCAAGCACAAGTAGACTTAGAGAGCAAAAGAATCATCTTGCGCGCGCTCCCTCTGAGAGACACGAGTTAGAGCAGCGAGCATCTACACGTCACTTCTTGCATTCCTAGACCGCGCTGTCCGCAAAGGTCAGTATGCCCCAACTGGCCGTGCACGCTGCCGGCGGTGCGGAGAAGAAATCGAAAAGGGGGTTGCTGGTCCTAATTGGGTGTTGCCATCATTGTGTGTGTGCCCGCCGCAAGTCACCAGTGGTTGAACGTGGCATGTGGAACAAAAAGCCACAGTGTGCAGAGCTTTTGCAACAGTGGGAGGAGAGTGAGGAGAGAGAGAGGGTCCTAGGCAATGGAACCACTGAGGCAATGACTGTCAGGGTGGTGAATTCACTTCCCCCGCACCCAAATACTGCCAAATACTGCCCAAACCCTACGGGAAGGCGTCATGCTGGATGTGATGTAAAGCTGCTTGTTTTGAGTCGCTGAAAATGTGTCTGAGGCTTGCCGGTAGCTGCTGGACCTCGCAGCCACCATCGCCCGTACAAAAAAAACGACAATCCTACCATACTAAGAGAAGGCGCTAACCGGCTACGGAAAACTGATGTCGGATGTTCAGGACTCCGTATTCCCTTGAGTTCGAGAGATGTTGTGAGAGACTTCAACTTGCTGTTCTTCAACTTGCTGTTCTGCGCTTCTCCTATACCTTACCGAGGCACATCAGTTGTGAAATTCCACATGCAGGCAATTGCAGAAATGGGGAATAGCCCTCTGCGGGTCTTTGCAAGTACCCCTCTAACCTTCTTCTTCCTCAATTTTGGAAGTCGGCCCACCCTACCTGGTCCCGCAACAGAAGAACGCACACCATGCAGATCCCATCCAAAGCTTGAGTGGGGAGGAAGCTGCTGGAGTGTTTCCTAAACAAGGTGGAGAACAATGCTGATCATGTGATAAGACTACCAATGATATAAAAACGGATACTAGAAATACTGGTAAATAATAATAGTAATGAATAATAGTAATGAACAATAGTAATAATACCCTAGACTGCGGGTAACCTACTTTGGGCCTGGCCAGCTGCCGCTGCGAGAAAAGGAAACAAGAGGTGTGGCCTTGGGACCCCCTAAAGCTGTAGCCTTCCCAAACAAGAACCTGGCCTTTGGTTAGCTGGGGACAAAGGAATGGAAAAGAAAATGGAAACTACTGTAGGGTTTACGGTTTAGGGTTCAGAAGGAATGGACAAATTGAAATAGAGGGGACTGAGAGGTTGGGGGTGGTGAGACGGAAGCAGATGTTGCAGCTCAGGCGCTGAGATTGGGCTATCCATTCAGATGGAGGCGGAACCTTGGCATGTGATGGCCAGTGATCCTCAGCAGCGCGCAATCCAAATCCAATTTCTACTTGGAGGCAGAGCGAAGATGCGTACACACTTTACCTGCACCCGGAGTGCTACGAGTCCTCTGTCTTTGGCATCAAGGACTATGATGCAGTCTATTGCATTGTGATATACTGTGATGCACTAGCGACCTCGAGAACGAACAGTTGCTGGAACAGCCCTCGCCCGAGAGGAGAAAGAGTTGCGCACCAAGATTTTTGGATATGAAGCTCTCAACAACACTGAGCGCCAGCGCCTGTGGAAGGCTGGCGGTGAAAGCAACATGCTGTCAGCTCCTAGTGGAAGCAAAGTGTTTCGGAATCAAACGCGGTCGGTTCGTACTACTCATCTTTCGGGAAACTGCTGCACAGGCCATGCGTTCGGAAAGCCGTGCCAGCAAGGCCAGTCGAGAAGGCCTCAGCAAGTAGCACAGCAGAGTGTGCATTAGCAAATCAGATTCTAAACTAAAAAAGGGCAAGCCAGGTGTATGGCTTGGCTCCAGCAGTGAAGCGGATCCAGTTAGAGTGTGTTTGCAGGTTAGGCTTCAACTTCACAAGAAGCATATCCGTTTGCTAGATTAAGTTCGTCTGGATAGTTGGCTCAGAACGCAAGAAGTGGGCCTGACAACAGCATAGCAGAAGCGGATACACTGGAGGATGTCCACGGCAATTGCGTGTGGGTAGCAGGACAAATTCTGAAAGATAAGGCTATGGTGTGTTCGCATAGTGCTTCTTGGGTCGACAGGCGCAGATGCCACAGCTGAGTATTCCAGTGGGTCCGTGGGCATCGTAACCAAGAATCTGCCTGAGATACCTGTGCCGAAGGACGGACGTTGCCATGTGAGGAAGAGTGTTCGAGCGCACAATCATGCAGTCTGGTGTTTGCTCTTGAGACCCAACGCCCGAAGTCAAAGTTGTTGCGCTCATGAAGAGGACTTGGCAGTTCCTATGCTGCCGTTCCAAAAAGAAGGCACGCAGCGGGATGCTTCCAACGGATTATTGAAACTCGCTACATGGGCCAGTCCAGGTCTAGCCTGGATGTGCCACCAAGAAGACTCCGACGTGCGTGGTGGCATCCTTGCGGATGAGATGGGCATGGGAAAGACGATCCAGGCAGGAGAAGTAAACAGATGTCCAAGGCGACCCAGATAACGTCATGAGCATGCGCCCGCACACAAGAAATCATTTTTTCCGCAGCGGCAAACAAGACTGCAACAGTCAGTGGACAAAAACATTGTCACTGCTGCTGCACAGACCATGGATTTTGATTTCTTGTTCTGCCAATCAGGAAGCGGGAACATGCCGGCACAATAGGGTGGACAACTTTGATGTCTTGCTATGCGGGTGCCTCCCACCAACTCTGCGGGACTGGCGCGAGCACGGGTGGATAGCGGAGGAACAGCAAGTGATACATTACTATTATTACTAGTATCCAATATTATTATTAGACTATTTTACTATAGCATTATTATTACTACTGGTTTTTTTATGTTTATAAATACTATTTGTATTTCCCCATGTTAGCCCACAAAGCATATCATGTTCAACTGAGAGGGAGACTCAAAGGACTTTTGTCAAGTTCTGACCAGTCAGGGCACATGGTGCCCAGGCTGCCATGGTCCCGCCTGAGAAGCTTGAGAGCCTGAAGTAATTTCGCTCTTGAAAAACTATAGGGTGCAAGCTGAACTGTGAGCTTTAACATACGGACGCAAACTGTGTTCAAGGGAAGACAGAGTTGAGCAGCATCTAATCACAGACTCGTCGGGCATTAAATGTTGATATCAGTGTGAAACCATGGGCTAGACTGTACTCCATGAAAAGATCATGCCTCCTGACTATGTGTCATCCAGCCAGGCCATCAGCCTGCTGCTAGCTCGGCCCTTGAAGGGGCCATGCCTCGTCGTCTGCCCAATGGCTGCTGTCCAGCAGTGGGTGAAGGAGATCGTCCCTCGGCATGGCGAAGCCTGAGCATGGCATCCTTCTTGTCATTCCACCGTTTCCTACGGGTTTCATCCAAGGCAAAGTTCACGAAGAAAGGCGGATTTTCAGAGAAGCCACGTAAAACCATGGCCTGCAAGTTTTGGCCAGGCACGCTTCGCACCCTGGTTTATCATGGCTCTGAGAAGGGCAAGCTGTCGACGCAGTTCAAGAAGTGTCACTCTGTCCAGAAAATTGACCAAGCCTCTAGGAGTTGTGCAAGAGCGTGCCTTTGCGTTGGCTGGCAGTCAAGGCGATGTTGTGATCACTACCTATCAGACTCTTGAGCGACTGGGACTTTAAGACTTGCATGTTGCTTCTTGACGCATACATGTGCCACATGAAGTTAAACACCTCTAGTACCCTCGAGTGCTGGAACTTCCATCAGTGCCGTCTGCCATGAGGTCGGATTACCGCCGTGAAGCACACAAACATCGGCTGAAGTGTAGCCGGGCAGCATCCAGGCCGCCAACAATTCGTTTAGGCAGCAAGCTTCTCTCCATACAGGCAAGTACTGCGGCAAGCTCTTCATGCCCGAGCGTCTTGGCTTGCCTTCGCTTGCCTCCTGCGTAAGTGCACTGAGAAGCAGCAGGATGCTTTGGGGGAAGGAAGAAGCCCTTTACGCGCAGGAAGCTTGCCTTCCACCAGCGATACTTCTGCGGTCCGAATGCGGAGAAAACCAAGAAGCAACAGTCGCTTGCCTTTCATGGACAAAAAGATTCCTGTGACTTGCTGATTTACAGTTCTGGAGACCATCATAGTTTGATAGTTTTCAAGCTCCACCGAGGAAGACTGCAGCTAAAAAGGGTATGCAGACGCTGGGGATTGGAGCACCTGCCACTTCTACGGATTCCCCGCCGACCATCACCAACATCTACCGCTCGGCCCCCAGCTGCCGAGCAACAGCAACACCCTGCTGTTGCTCGACGTCGACGCTCGCACTCAGAACATCAAAGCCAAACATCTAGACTAGCTGGAAATCTGCAACAAGCAGATTTGCGAGCAAGACTTGTGCCGTGGTGGCCAAAGGTGACTTCATGAAGCAAGCTGGAGTGGATGTCAAGGCAAAGGGCTACTGGAACGCCCCTCGCACGAACAATCATGCATCAGAGCTGGTGGGCATGAAGACCTGAATAGTGGTCTTGAGGTCATGAAAGAGACCCAAGAGAGGCTCAAGGAGAGCCACGAGCATGCAATTCCACAAGTAATGTCAGCACATTGCATTCCCATTCAGTACAATATTGAAACCTCATGGGAGGAGAAGTCTTCTTCCTCATCTTCGAAGGTGCCTTTGATCTGCTAGAGAGCAGGATGTCACAGTTGTCGAGTTCAAATTGGCTTTCTGATTGGTGTATGGTGCCAAGACTAACTTTTGGATTGCATCCTGCAGGCGAAAGAAGGTGATGATGTCCTGAGTCGAGAACGCCTTGCTCTCCTGGACAAGAAGGACCTAGAATCGTTAGCTAGCATTGAGATTCCATACAAGTTTCGTGGGTGGCATCGCAGGAGCTGACAGATCTCTGCGTGAAGAAAGGCACCCGGCAATTTCGACGGTGGCCCACCATGCTCACTCAAGATGTGCCTGGAATTTCATGCGACAGGCTTAGACTCCAGTGGCCGTAAGCCGGATTTGGTGGATCGGCTCATGGAGTTTGCTGTCCGTGGCGCTGTCGCGTCCCCCGTGAAGAAGGTGAGGCAGATGCCTGGTTGGCCAGCTTCTTTTGATGGGAAGATGTCAGGCAACCCTTGCGATGAAGCTCATCGCCTCCGTAGCTTCGAAGGCCTAAAGATGTTTTGATGCTGCCTCTTGCCAGAAGCCTGGCAATCCTAACGGTTGCGCAGGCGAAAGCCCAGCCTGCAAAAGCAGCGAACGGCAAGAAGCGGTGCCCTGGCGAAATGCAGATAAGTCAAGCACTTCTTTTTGCTCGCCGATTCTTCTTGTGTTCCTCAGTGCAAAGATGCGCTCCCAGTAATCAATCAACAAGCTGCTTTACATAGACCGTGAACAGGTTGCGTGGAACTTGCGAAGTATTTTCCGGACGCGCTCACGAGGCCATTGCTCCTGCGCACTGGTTCTGGCGGCTCTTCCAAGCCGGACACTCAAGGAGGGCGCTTGTTCACTTGAATGCGAGGTGCTGTAAAGAAGTGATGGAACGCCGATTGGCATCCAGGTATCAAGGCGTCTCACATGTGAAGGCCAGCGGGAAGTGGCAGGCGGTTTTCCAGGCAGCCCGCTTCTTGCTGTCTCTGCAGTTAGCACCTGCTGGGTGTACACGAACTGCACAGGGCAGCCGCCTTGGCACCTTTGCATCGGACTGGCTCTGCTGCAGAGTGGTTGGGCCCAGCTCTCCACATTGTGCTCCAGGAGCTGAAAGCTGCCCAAGCGATACGCGATGCAGCAGAGGAGGCAGAGACCAAAGGGAAGGGTGGCAAGGCCAAAGCAGCGAAGGCGCGGTGCGATGCGGTGCGTCTGTCCGTTCTTGCTCTCCACAAAGCTTGCAGCTACTTCCCAGAAACGAAAATGTTCCTTGAACACCATTCAGCCAGGGCGGCTCACAGCCAGCGCCTCGCAACGGTCTGGCCAGGACCGTTGCACAGAGCAAGACAGGCCACGGCGGCCTTGTTCCTGCATGAACACAGCACTTGCACTTCGGCAAATCTTGGCAACGGCTGCGTAAATCCAGGCAAGCCCGCTGCTGGCAATAAGCGCAAGCATGGCGAGATGGAAGATAACAGTTACGCCGCCTCTTCCAACTTGGCATTATTTTGGTAGTTCAGCAACTCCCGCACCCTTACAATTATGTTCTCGGTGTCGTTGTCTACAAGCAAGCATGCTGCGCTGGTTTCGACGGCTTTCACAGAGTGAGTCGCTGTACCTAAGGAAGGTTACGCACCTCTGCTGCATTTGAATTCAGAGCAATTCTAGATGGAAGGCACCCATTCGGGTTGCAGGTGTGGTTGCCAGCCTGGCGTGAGGTGTCGGAAGCGATGTCAGGCCTGCAGCCCGTGGCCTCCGCTCTTCAAGCGCAGTTTACAGGTCCTCATACCTCAGAAACAACAGACAATCGAATTAGGTGTGAGGATGAGGGAGAGAGTAGGAAAGCTTCAGACCTCGCCATGACAGCAAGCATAGCAAGCATCAACCCACAAGTTCTCCCAACGATCCGGTCTCTGAATGTAGTCCGTTCTGCCCTGTACTCAACATTCAGAAAACAGTTGCCCCTTTGGAGCTTCGCAAAGTCTTCGAACTAAGGAAACTTTCGAAGGAGTACAGCTGGACCTGAGTGAGTCTCCTTTGCACAGCATTGAGTGGGCTCGAGTCGTCCTGGACGAGGTAAGCCCATCCCAGGTACTTGTTACATTTGCTGATAAATTGTTATCAGCTTTCTTGGTTGGGTCGGGGAAGATGTCTTCCTGGCAGCCTGGCAGGCTCACCGCATCAAGGGCCGAACTAACAGCACGGCGCTGGCTGCCTACGCCTTGCAAGTGCAGAAGGGCTACAAGCACTTTGGCACGATTTGGGCTGTAACACAAAATACCACGCACATAAACGTGAAAGAAAGTGGATCTAGGAGAAAAACGTAGAGCTCAGAAGTGGTTGAAGTGCATTCTGCATGTGACAGTCGGGTAGCTTCTCACATTTCTCACTTTGCCGCCGTGTTTTTCTTGTCTGTTGTGGCTAGGTGCGTGGACATTCGTGATGTGAGTTAAGATTCGCTATGCGGAAATCCTGCGGCTAGGTGGTGCCTGACCGGAACGCCGTTGCAAAATCGTGTCGGGGAGTTGTACTCACTGATTCGTGCCTCGGCATGCCTTAGCTTCGGCAGCTCTGGCAGGCGAGGACGTGCTGTTGGGATCAAAATAAGTTGTCAAAGGCTTCCTGCGCGTGCGGCCGTATGCCTTTTACTACTGCAAGAAGCAGGACTGGGCAAGAAGGGCCTAGACTGCTGCATGCTGAATATCAATTGACTTCTAGCATCTTCTCCCGGCGCTTGCATCTGAGCAGCATGTTTCGATCCGTCAGAGAAGTGGCCTCGTGACAGCTGTCCTCGCAGGGCTGCAAGTGCGAGTGCGCCTGCTTCATGCGAGATCGGTACTGCCCGAATTGTGGCCACGTTCGATTCATGCTGCTTGGCTACCCAAGGGTCCAGGCATTATGAAAGCTGGTAACAAGAACCAGCAACTTGCTTCTTCCATGCTAAATGCGTTAGGTGTTTCGTGGACTTGAATTCATAGAAGTCCTCCAGTCCATTGTTCCACCTGTACTTGGAACAGAGGCACTACTCCAGCTTCAAGCGAGACGTGCCCAGACCTTGGTGTCGCACGGTATATATGATTATTACCCATTTGCGGCAAGTCCTCCTTGAATCGTTACCCACGAATTTCTCGCAATGGAGGAGGCCTGAGCATGACAAGGTCCAACCCCATCATCAAGTTTGGCTACATGGGGGCAGGAAAGACAGCTTTCCAGAAGCTCCGGCAGGAGCAGCGGCATGTCAAATTGTGGGCAATGCCCTCTTCTTAGTAGTGCTCCCGGTGGCTTCTTTAAGTACTTCTGCTGCGGCGTAGGACATCCTCCAGCGCTGCATGCTGCGACGAACGAAGGAAGAGCGGAAGGCGAGCATCAGTTGTACAGCCTCTTGCATTGGTCGCTGTGCAGAATACGTTTGTAGCGCATTGACAAGCTGCGAGGCTGATCTCAAGCTGCCACCAATCAAGGCGATGGACAAGCAGTTTTCTTATCTTCAGCCCTGGCTCTCTGCGCTGCCAGCTTCAGGTCACAATTCGGAAGGACAAGCTGTCACAGCAGGCCTTGTTGCAGCACAATCCTGCGCAAAGCTTCAACAGTTACAATGGTTGGAAAGACTTTGCCTGGAGCCTTGTTTTTAGGAGATGGATTTCTACTCCAGCCTTTACATGCAGCCACTTTGCCGCATTGGTTGCCTCACACAAATGTGGGGCTCAGACTACTCTTGTCAAGGGGCTGATCCTGCACAGGAGGTTCTGTTAATTCTCTCAGCTGCTCATGCAGTATTTGATGCATTAGTTCAAGTCTTGACCAGTGAAGCGAGAGAACGTGCGTTTGTACAAGGTCATGCGCTGCTTGGCGGCATTGACACATTCGTGGGGCAAATTGACATGTGGCTGTGCCCATGGCATTCCTGATTCCTCACAAGGTCAAGTTTGACACTTTCATACACTCGGGCACCATCCTGTGCCCCTGCTGCAGCCTAAAGCAGCCATGCTAAGTCTGCCAGTGATGCCAGGCTCAGCAGAGCCCTTCATGTCTGGCCCCAAGTGGCATTTTCGCCCAAGGCACAACTATGCCCACATCTTTGACTTGCTTACCTCTCTCCGACGAGCAGTAGATCATCCATACCTCATCGTGTACGGGGGTGGTCAGGCAAGTGGCCGAACACTTCTTGAGACAACGTGCGCTTTCAAGCTGTCTATTGACTTGTGTCAGGCGACGCACAAGTTGCCAGCGGGTAAGGCATTGCCGGCTGCAAACTGCGGAAGTGTCTGTGGCCTTTGTCAGGCCGGACTCCCAAACTGTCCAGCAAGTTGCTTTTTCTTTTCTGTGCATGCTTTCATGCAATCGCAGCAGGATGACGTGATCGAGGGCGGGGAAGAGGTCAAGCGAGAGGCAGTCGACTTAATCAATCCGAAAGTGTCACGATTGATCAGCATTGTGGAAACATGTGGAACCCATCTCTCGGTATGAAGGCGAAGTGCGGACATGATTCTTGGCAAGCAGAACATGCTTTTTTATTGCCAAGAGTGTTGCACTTGCATGTGCGTACTCCATTGGCTTAACGTGAAGCCCAGTTGACGAGCTGTTGCTCCAAGTACTTGCAGTCATTGGCTACAGTGACTACAGTGACCAAAGTTTATTCTGGCAGGTCAGTGTGATGTGAATCAAGGAGGCTGTATGAGGCTGTGCTGCCAAGGTCTTCCATGACGAGTGTATCCGTGCGTACATGGCTGATGCACCAACCCTGAAGTCCGGAGGAGCGCTCTGACAGCAAGTCATAGCAAGTCATAGCAAGTCTTGTCAAGTCTTGCGTGGATATGCTTAGCTGCTAGCTGCTAGCTGACGCGTCTTCAGAGCTGCTGCTGCCAGCCACCTCTCCGTGATGTCGAATCTCCAAGGTTGGATGCCCAGTTTGCTTCACGAGGTTGACCATTGACCTCGAGGCCCTGCCTTTTGTTTTACCTGAGGCAAAATCTTGTGCCTTGCCTTGCCTTTACAACAGGACGGTGACGACGAAGGGGACGAAACCGAGGCGATTTGCCTATAGGGAGAAGTAGCAGTGGGCCTCCAAACCAGGGATCTCGAAGTCACTCATTCTAGGGGGCACGAGGAGCCTTGGAGCCGAAACCACCTGCAGCCAGAAGATATCCACAGTGCATGGCTCCGGTGTGCTGAAAGTATCTGCGAGGCTGAGAATATCTCTTGCGAACACAGCGTCTAGAATTGCTTTTGTTTGATTTGTGAAGCATGTGAGGCTCACCTCGTTTTGCTGACCTGCACTTGCCAGGGATGAAGTGTAAACAAACCAGGGCACCCCTACTCACAGCGTCGTCCTGATCAGGAGACGCCCAAGAAGAAGCCCCGCAAAGCTCCCACTATGACACCGGCAAAGACATCCAGGTCCGTGCAGAAAAGTCAGCTGTGGTAAACAGTTGGGCCAGCTCTCTTTGCAGGAGTTCTGAAGAGCCGTTGAATCACCCAACGCAAGGAGTCCCTGTAGTCGTAAGTTACGCATGGATAATCCCGGTAGCCAATGGTAGCCCCATCCTGCAACGTTCGTCTTTTGCACGTCTCTCCCTTAGAGGACATGCAGCCTGCAGCCATGCATCAGTCCCCAGCTTGCAGGCCAAGCTCAAGTCCAGCAGCCAAGGCCAAGGCAGGCTTGCAACATGTGTCTGTAGTATCTCATACATAGTCGATTATCGTATATTATCGTAGATTGTAGTATAGTGTAGTATATTATAGTATGTAATGCTGCGTAGCACTCTTCAACTTGCCTTGCACGCGCAAGCCCTCACCAGACAGTGAAACAGGCTGCATGCTAGACTGATCTGGAATGTGCACAATGTGTGGCTTGCCAGGCCAAAGCCACGGCGAAGCCAGCTTTGCCTGTGCTTTGGTCGCAATTTGGGTGAGCCGCTGATGTGAGAGCCTTGCGTCAAAGATCTGCATGAAGGAAGTCGGAACGCCAGTCAGTCATGTGTAGAGTTGTACGCAGGCACCAGCCGAAGAACATACGACCAAGTCTGTCGCGAAGGGTGGCTTCGGCCCGGGCAGCATAATGAAGAAGGCAGGAGCCAGTCAAGGCCAGTTGCTGTCAGTCGAATCAAATGGGACACTGATTCGGCAGGTGAAGGCTGCAGACTTTCAAAGCAGCACCAAAATCGAGGCGGTTGTAGATGAGATCAACAAGATGACGCAGAGCGACCCCAGCGCCAAGGTGCTGGCAACCCGTTCAGATATTGCACTTTCATGCATTTTCATCTAGCAGCGCCCATGGTGAAGCCAAGTTCCGATCAACAGATGCTCCAAAGCATTTGTGGATTGCGCAAACACGAGTTGATTTTGCAGGGCAACTCACTTGCACATATCCAACTTGCGTCCAGGGCATCGTGTTCTCTCAGTTCGGCTCAATGCTGGAGCGCTCCAGCTGAACTTCCGCATCAGTGCATGCAGGGTCATCTCTCAGGGAAGTTGATCACAGACAGTTGTAACGGGTAGTGGCTGTGATGTATGACAGGGCAGTATACGGGAAGGATAGGAACCATTGCTTTGGATGGTAGAAGTGGTGAGGCTTGTCGAGTTCCGCATGAAGCGGGCTGGCATCTCTTGCGCAACTGGGGCAGAAGGGAAGTGGTCATGGCTTGACCAGTTATGCTATTTTGCTTGCCCTGGGCGGCTCGGGCTTTCTGCTGTTGACTAAGGTAGTCTTCCGAGGCGGGATGTCGATGCAGGCACGATGGAAGCTGAGTTCAGGGCAGGTCTAGTGATCTTTCGACTGCAGGCTGCGGCCGTCTCATGAGATGGTCCCTCAAGCAACATGTCTCAGATACTTCTGAGATGGCAGGCGAGGGAAGACGCCTTGGCGGCTTTCAACGAGGATCCCACGATGAAGGTTGCTCGATGACAAAGAGTGGAAGTCCGCGGAGATGACAACACTGCGCTTTTGCTTCGTAGATCTGTGCACATGCGTGGATCTGTGTACATGCTGGAAATTGCTGGAACAAGGCTGCACGTGGTGAGCAATTAGCCAAACTGGGTTTTGTTTTGCTTTTGACCTTTCTCTGAAATGGTCCAATATCCAGTACGCATGAACGGTCAAGAAGTAAGTGGCATATGGACTTCACTGCACAGCGAATATTTTGAGCTAGCGAGGCAGAAACAACATTCAAGGACCCCCACGCGACCGCAAAGGCAAACTTCAGGAGGCAAGAATAGGCTCGAGCAAAGAAAGACGCAAGCCAGGCGGAAGAACGCACAGACAAAGACTGGCAATGAACAAGTCTCTTACAGTCGGTTTTTAAGCCTTTTTTGGTAGGATGAAGATGTGACATGCTCTGACTGTGCTGACTGTGAGTGGCAGGTCATTTTGATCTCCTTGAAGGCTGGAGGAGAAGGCCTCAATCTGCAGGTGGGCACCACTGCGGGATGCCAGATCTGCATGTGATTCTGTCGGAGTATATTGCAGAGCATTGCAGAGCGCAGGTAGCCAACCACGTCTTCCTGTTAGATCCCTGGTGGAATCCGGCTTGTGAGATGCAGGCAGAAGAACGGTTGGCTGGAGCGACAAACCTGCCATTTGACACACTGCGCCAACGATGAGCAGTGTTTGATTTGCACTTGCAGCCTGTGGATCTGAGGTAGACATAGGTCATGGCTTGCAGTATACACAGTACATAGCAGCAGGGCTTGCCATCAGTCGAAGGCCATCCAGCGTGCGCACCGCATTGGGCAGACCAAGCCAGTGAAGGCGGCTTGTCACCAACAGGATCAACCTTCTGCGAGGATTCTCCACATGCTGGTTTCATGTATGATTTGAAAGCCAGCCATGCTGCAAACTGGCAAGGCTGTCAGGTTCATCACGGCTGACACGATTGAAGAGAAAATCATCAAGCTTCAGGCGGCAAGTGCGAACATTTTCAAGCTGCCCAATGATTTTGTTCTGCTATGAATGGGTCTTCTGAAGACACGTATGGCACAAAGCTGTTGCTAGCGCTAAGACCAGTCCCGACAGGTCACAAAACGGCATGCATTCAATCTTGTCAGCTCATGGCGGGATGGGTTCTAAGCTTCAGGAGAAGAAACAGCTGGTCTTTGATGCTTCCATCGATGGCTCCGCAGCATCTCTCGGCAAGCTGACAGAGCAGGAGCTGCTGTTCTGCTTGGAGTTGTTTGTGCAACCATTCTCTCGGCTTAGCTTGCTCAGGACCTGCGCTTCCTCTTTCAGCACTAACTGACAGATTCTACTAACTCAAGCAAGGCCGGGCGTTCGGCCCCAGCCTGGGTTGGTGTGTGTTTTCCACTCTGATCTCAGACAGATGCAGAGGCCAAAGAATCTGCAGCGCGCAGATTGGGATAGGTTCGTTATTCACCGGACTCGGCCAGAAAGCGGCCATCAAAAATCCTTGTGACAACGGCATAAGCGATGACCAAGGGGCGACGCTCCACTTTCCTGCAACCGCTGTTGACCTGTGGTACGGGTCCGCTCCTAGGTCAAGCCTGCTTTCAGCTAGGAGCTGTGGTACGGCTCTGCAGTCACAGCCGGAGGCAGCCTGACACTCTTTAAGCATTTGTCATTATCAGTTTGGCTGTCCCTGCAGTTGCTGATCTGTTTGAAGCACTAACAACATTACAAGAGATATTGATCCTAAACGCATCAGGTTGCCTAGCTTCTTGATCAAATGAGGGACAGCCAGGGCTGACTGATGGCGGATGAGCATGTGCCGATCTGGGAGTGCACATGTGATTGCCGATTCTGACCCCTGCTTAGGCATCATCAAAGCACTTGAGGCCTGTCATGGCCTGTCAAGAATGATTCTCAAAGGTCCCAGGCTTGGTGAGTACATCTCACCTCTCGACCCCAGGGATAACGTGAAGATAAGTACGTGACGATTGTCAACAATCGGCGAGTTTTCCTGCTTTTTGCAGCTAGATCTCACAGTCAAGCTGGTCCGCCAGCTTAGTTAATGATTCGGAGTTCCCCCTACCTGCTGCGCCAGCTTTTAAAAGCTTCAGACATAATGTGGAGGGCTGCTTTCAATTATGATGCCATTTGTTGTTGCCTGTTTTGCAGATCTGTGCGGACTTGACTTGGGGGGAACGACAAACACAGCATGGGCAATGCTCATGAACTTTGGATGGCTAGCGCTCTCCGCTCCGCGTGTCTCTGCACCCCTGCTGTGTCCCATCACTGTCCTCTAGGAGAAAAACCGCTGAAGCCACAAACAGAAATGGGACGCTGGCCGCAGCTTTGACTGTCCAGCAGCAGTATGTACCCGATGTAGACGACTGACCAGTTGTGCAAGATGACTGGAGGTGGTTGCATTGGGGCCAAGGAGCAGCCTCACGCATGGCACCCTTCGTGTCATCTGAGATGCGGAGCTTTTCAGTAAAGCGCTAAATGCTATGCTTTCACTATCTTTCACTGCTGTGCCTCCGGGATCTGCTTTTTCATGGCGTTTCTGAGTAGCTAGGAGTTGTGTGCAGCAGGCAGCACTCGCATGGCTCACAGCTCCCTTGCTTGGTGACCCAAGAGTGCAATCAAGGTAGCCAAGCATTGAGGTGCCCTAAAGGTGTATTCGCTTGTTTAACCTTGAGAGTAGGCAAGCGTAACTCATGTCACCTGCGTGTGTTTGGGCTGCGGCCAGTCTTCAGACTTGCACTGGACAGTCCGTAGCATCTTCTGCTGGTTTCTAGCTTTGAGGTTCAGTTGTGAGAATACATACGAGTAATGCGCTAGTACGTGAGTCTGCTTGAGCTATGTCGGGGGTGCATGTCCCGGACTTGCTGGCATGCTTGGTCACCTGCTGTAGGAAAAGTTTCCTGCATTCGAGAGCTTGCTGAGACAGATAGCAGGTTGGTCACCCGCCCGTGGTCTTCTGCACTCCCGGAAACAGGTCCCAGCAATGCAGCAAATTTGAGACAGGGATTCTCAGCAGTTGTGGCTGTCCTACAAAAGCATCCATGACTCCAAGCCTCCTGAATGCTGCGAATGATGGGGAATGTGAATCCAGAGCAGCTCTCTTGATTGAAAGGTAGTTTTTGACGCCCTGCCAAGCATGCACAAAAGGTAGTTGTCGCCTGCAGCAGTCCTCTTGCTGCAGGGACTTATGCGAGAAGATTGTTGCCCACCTGAGCTGGACCATAGGAAAGGCATCCTGCTGCAGGGGAGATGTGGTGTTCATCCTTGTGGTGGCTTGCTTCGCTTGTTTTGTTTTCTTGCAACCTGCGAAGGCCAGTGGCCAAGGATTCTAGCCCTGTAGATGTTATTGCTAATTCTTGGGGCTAGGGCATAGCATGGTCTAGCATGAAGGCCAGGATTTTGAAATGGGTTGTCAGCGTTGAAACACCGAAGTCAGCCACAAGACAATCGCTAGCGGCCTAAAAGCAAAGCAAAGCTCTGTGATCGCTAACCTTTACTTGGCTTCGTTTCATTACTGTCTCCCTGGCAACTGATGCTGCACCCTGTCTTTGCAGAGAGGCTAATGCTTGCTCTTTCTTCAGATAAGTTTTTAAAGATTTCAACCAAGGATGGCATCTCTCAGACTGGTGTTGTCGTGAACTTTCATTTTTCCGAATCACATCAGGCCCGCTTTCGAACTTTCGCAAATGGAGAGATCTCCGTCAAGCTGGAGCAGTCGGTGTCGAACTACGACGTGTTTGTTGCTGCTTAGCAGCAAAGTACAGGCACATGATGTCAGGTCACATCTTATAACCCGGAGCACGTCAGCTGCTTGCAATCAGCTGCGCCCCCGAAGCACTGGCATTCTTCCAAGTGATTGGAAGCGGGTTTCAGGCCAAATGAACATTTGCCTTCTGGTAGGTTTGTGCCCGTGACGACTTTGAGTGCGAAATCAACTTCATGCTCATGCAGGTGTGGAGAATCCTCTGCTCGTGATGATATGCAGACTTGGCTCTTTGTTGAGCAGTATACAGCAGACTTGCGAGTCTGAACGTGTGGTGCAACTTGCCTGTCAAAGGGGCATGCCCCATTTTCTCGCTGCAGTTGCTCATCATGCTGGATGCGCTGAAATCGGAGTCGCCTCACCGAATCACCGTGGTTTTGCCTTGCGTGGAGTATGCACGGCAGGAGACACTGCAATTGCATTTTTCACGATTAATCAGAATAATGTTGATCAGCAGTTTTTGGCTGCAGTACACATGAGTGGAGGACCGAAAGTTCGAGGCTGGAGAGGCAATCGCTCCGAAGCTTCTGCCGCAGCCTTACCATCATCACCTCTCACCTCTCAGCTGCTTGGATGCGGCAAATGGAAGCGATGCATTCCAGCCTGCCCAGGCTCCACTTGATGGCAACTGCTGGCGCAGACCGCTTCGTAACCATCGACTTGCACAATCAGGCACTTTTGTGTTCAGAGCTAGTGCTAGCGAATACTAGTGAAAATGCAATGAGCATGTTGTTGCTTGCGCAGCTTGCCAGCGAAGGCCGAAGCCGGCTTCAGCCCAGCGCAGGCAGCACTCGATGAGTTGACCTGCGAGCAAGGCTCTCAGTGGAAGCGAAAGGCGACAAAATCTAAGGGCGGTCTGGCGGCCTGCTCAACGAAAACCAGTCCAGAGCAGCTAACGTTTGACTTCATGCCCTAACGATGTCCGATAAAAGCCTACAGGCCGAGTGTGGCATGGCGGGCGTTGGTTACCTAACGCTTTGCGCAGAAATGCTCAAGTCATCATGAAAGCTATGTGCATCTTAAGTCGGTTCAAGAGCCTTTAGCAACTTTCGGTCGCTATTTGGTCAGGAGGGCCGACTAATGGATGTTGGGCTGACAATTTACACCCGGAATGCAGGAAATATCTTGGAGCTTTCATTCGGGAAGCGATCCCGAGCTTCAAGCCGGAGGACGCTGTTCAATGAAGAAGCTAAAATCGGCTGTGGATTTAGAAGGTTAACGAGAAGAGGGATTCCTCTTCTTAGCGGCGAAAGCAATGGCTTCCAAGTCCATCTGTTGGCTGTCAAGCTGCAAGAGGACAAATCAGTGTAACAGCCGGTATGGTATTTCAAGGCATCTCAGAACATGGTTAGCAGGATTAGCATAGGCAAGGGCGCATTGGCTATTTGAGGCAGGTGCAATCGGAGGAGACGCTGGTGTGTGCCACTGATGCTGGTGGTGCGAAGCGAACAAGGAAGATGGCCGACGAGCTGCAGGCGCGTGAGCATGCGTGAGCTCAAGTCTTGACTGACCTCAGTTTCATGATCCTAGAGGCAATCTGGGAATGTACCCCATGGAAGGGTGGTGGTGGTGGTGGTGGT